AGGTCTGATATGCTATAATATATATGCACTGTATGTTAAGTTGCCTGTTTTGTATGCGTTATGTATGCTATGCTTGATATGGGGCGGAAAGCATTATGTTATGGGCCGGAAGGCATTATGATGTAGACCGGAAAGTCAGGGAATTATGGATCGGAAGGTCGACACGGGTAGGACCGGAAGGTTTACTGGGTTGGGACAGAAGTCCTCTGAGACACATGGACTGGAAGGTCATGGTCTGGAAGGGCGTATGTGTGTAAGTGGTATATTGGGGAACTCACTAAGCATTTATTCTTACATTTGTTGTGTTATGTGTTTCAGGTACTAGCAATGACCGTGGGAAGACGCCGGCATGAGTCGTACACACACCCACAGGCAGATTTGGATATAGTTGATCTTAGGATTTGACATGTTTTGTATTATGACTATGTTACATTGGATTTTTATGGTTTGTTTTGAATGAAATTATGTTTTAAAGAAATGAAAATTTGTTTTGAAAAATCACATTGTTACATGAGGATTAAGTTGCTTAAATAGTGTGCAAAACCCCACAATTAGGGTTTCATTCTGGCAGGCCTACTCACCGAGTTGAGGTCTCCCAACTCATCGAGTAGATGGATTTAAACCTGCGTCCAATCTCTATTCTACTCGATGAGTCTGGGGCTCCCAACTCGTCGAGTAGCTCTACAAAAATAAACAAATTACAATCAAATGCGTATTAGGAATGAGGCGTTACAATTTCATTTTTGCATCTTCTTCAAGCAATCATTAATGTTAATATTCTCGCCATACCTGATCAAGCACAAGAATACAACATATGCAAATGCAGATGCATCGACAAGACATCCCTTATTTACCAAACAAATGTCCTAAACGCACTCAATTTGCTTTCTATCAACATCACCCACATAAAACAATTTTACAAGTACTTTTCCCATTGAAAAGGTCATGATAGTTGTTTAGGGTTTTGTGCATTTTATTTTACAAGTACTCTATTAACATCACACACGCATAAAACATTAATGTGCATTTTAGTTACTTATTTTTATAGTTTAGTTTACATTTTTTAGTTAATAATCATGGGTATTTTCATTTTATTTATTCTATATCTATATCAAATACTTTCAAGTTTTATGCTTATTTCAGATTTTTAAAAGACTCAATGTATTACAAATTTGTTTAGGGTTGGTCGGGAGTTTCGAGGACCATTTTTGGCTCAAGAAGTTGAAGACTTAGACCTTAATTTTGGGGTGGCCGGGAGAGTTAGGTGTTGTTTGTTTTTTCGAAGAGAAATTGTTAGAAGTCTGCGGACCACCTCTTCAATCCTCTGTAGCAGAAGAGGTGGAACAAACGGCTACAACATGTAATAAAATATATGTTTGTTTTTTAACGTCTGCAGACTGTTGCAGTAAGTTAAACTAATGTGTGAAGAGGTTTGCAGCAGTTGGTTTAGTGCTGCGCCACGCAGCACACGCACATCAGTTTTTAAGTCGGAAGTCTTATGAAAAACAAACAGCTGCGAATGGCCAAGTGCTGTGCGTGTGCTGCGCGGCGCAGCAATAAGTGGTTTGAAGTGGTTTTAAAAAAAAAAAACAAACAGCACCTTAGATGCTTGAAGAATGAATATTTGGGCTAAGTTTTGGTGGACAATGGGATTAAATTTTAGACAAAATTACATAAATGGTCCTCATGGTTGATAAAATTGACCAATCATGGTCCTTATGACGAATTCTTTACACAGATGGTCCCTGTGGTTCCAAAATCTTGCAAACACGGTCCTTTTGACTAACGGTGTTAACTTTTTCAGTTAAGTCCTATATGAAATGACATATTTGCCCTTCATGCATAAGGACGCTTTATGTAATATGTTTCTACCACAGGGACCATTTATGTAATTTTGTCTTTTATTTATTATTTATTATTTATTTTAATTATATATTTAAGTATTTAGATTTGTTTAAATTTATTGTTTAGTATATATATATATATATATATATATATATATATATATATATATATATATATATATATATATATACTAACATTTTTAACGGTTTGCTTAATTCACTTTCAATTATGTTTTCATCTTTTTTTTCTTTTATCAGGTTATATAATTATTATTTTTAATTCAAATATTTAACTATATAAGGTTGTATAATTATTATTTTTGTAAACTAGTTTACTAACATTTTTTATAAAAAAGTATAAAATGTTTGTTAAACGTGAATATCATTAATATAGATTCGGTAGACATAGGCTACGCTGAGACCGTCTCACAACGTTGCCGAGAACAACCGGGTTATTTCACAGTGGATTTAATTGTAATTATTTCGAGTTATTTATTATTATTATTTTTTGTTTTTAGCAGTGTTGTAAAAAATCACAACTTGGTCCCGATTAATCTCAGATTAATCCTTAAGTGCTACCTGAGCGTTTAGAGGCCCTTGCGTTGTGATTTTTTACAACACTGCTAAAAAAAACTTGAAATAATTACATTTAAATCCAATGTGAATTGACCTGGTCGTTCTCGACAACGTTATGAGGCGGTCTCAGCTTTGCCTACGTCTACCTAATCTATATTAATCATATTTACGTTTAACAAACATTTTACACTTTTTTTTATAAAAAAATGTTAATACATTAGTTTACAAAAATAATAATTATACAACCTTATATAGTTGAAAAATGTATTCGAACATAACGTCAAATAAATAAATAAATAAATATATAATATTCGAATAAAACGTCAAAATAAAAAACATTAATAAATTTACTTGAAGAAAATATCAAAAAGATTAAAAAAAATAATTTGAGCAAACCGTTAAAAATGTTAGCATATATATATATATATATATATATATATATATATATATATATATATATATATATATATATATATATATATACAAACAATAAATTTAAGCAAATCTAAATCCTTAAATATATAATTAAAATAAATAAAAATATAATAAATAATAGAGAAAATTACATAAATGGTCCCTGTGGTAGAAACATATTACATAAAGCGTCCTTATGCTTGAAGGGCAAATATGTCATTTCACATAGGACTTAACTGAAAAAGTTAACGCCGTTAGTCAAAAGGACCGTCTTTGCATGATTTTGAAACCACAGGGACCATCTGTGTAAAGAATTCGTCATAAGGACCATAATTGGTCGATTTTGTCAACCATGAGGACCATCTATGTAATTTTGTCTAAATTTTAGGTCTTTAAGAAGCCGACAAAGAAGGAAAATGTGGTTATTGAATGATTTAGTCTAGGTGGCTATTTAGCAGCTTGAAGATTGAAGATTTGGGCTAACTTTTGGTGGACAACTGGGCTAAATTTCGGGTCTTTAAGAAGCTAACCAAAAGGGAAAAGTGGCTACTTAGGTGCTGTTTGTTGTTTTGAAGTCAAAATATCTACAATTTGTGGACCACATCTGCAAGCCTCTACGACAGAAGAGGCGATATCTGCAATCTGCAATAAGAAGATTCATTGTTTTTAACGTTGGCAGCTGTTAAAATAAATTGATTTTTTAAACTTAGTTTTATGTCATAAACATTAAAAATGCATTTTCAGCAAAAAAAGAAAGAAAAAAAACTGCATGGTGGTCCATTCTTTTTGTTTAGGTTAAAATAAGGTCTGAAGACCTTTGAAGACAGTGGCCCATGTCTACACTAGGAAGATCTTGCGTAGACGTTTTTTGCTCTGTACACTTCCAAAAACAAACAGTCAGCGATGACATATGTCTACGCGACGCAGATAAAAGTGGTTACACATATCTTCACAAAAAAAAAAAAAAACAAACAACCCCTTACTCTAGCTTAAAGTGGTGTATTTTGATTTAGATAATGGCTACTTGAAGTAGACAACAAGTAGCGATTTTGAACTGTCCAAAATTCTTCCGATAATTTTCCAAATTGTCGAACAAAATGATGAAAATAACTAATGCTTGTGTAAATAAAAGGATAAAGTAATCTATACTTCTAATAATATTACAATTTTTTAAATAAAATTTATGTTTGATAAATCAAATATCTTCCTGTCTTTTTGTTCTTAGTCATGGACCATGGTTATATCATTAGATCAATCTAAAATATATTCTTGTCTTTTTGTTCTTAGTCATGGACCATGGTTATATCATTAGATCAATCTAACACCCCGTTCTCGAGTTTATCAAAAGAAAAGAAAGAAGAGAAAAAGAAACTCACGAGAGAAAAGAAGAGAAAAGAAAGTAACGAGAGAAAAGAAGAGAAAGGAAATGAAAACAATTTTTTTTTTTTTTGTGTTCCCGAGTTGTAGAGAAGTGGAAGGAAAATTAATCATTTTCTTCTTTCTTTTCAAATTCTTCTAAATCAGAAGGAAAGATAGGAGAGAAAGTGATCATTCCATTTCTCTCCATTTCATTCCTTTAATGAAACTCGGGAACACCAATTTCTTTCATTTTCTTCTCATTTTCACCCATTTCGTTTCCTTTCTTTTGTTAAGTTGAACTCGGGAATGGGGTGTAAGTGTCAAAATCAAAAGGGGGATTAAGAAAAGAATTAGTAGATTATATATGTTATTATTTTAACAAAAAATAAAAAAATATTTATTTATTTTTATTTAATTAAGACATTTTAAATGATATAAAAACAGAGCCTTCTTGAATTCAGCATTTCATTTCATTTTATAAGTATCGAAAATGATGATGATGTTCATGTGATATGTTCACCAATATCTTCTATCAATAACAAAGAATTCCATTTGTAATGAAATTTTACTTTATTGTTTAAATTTCATTATATTTTCTGTTTGTCTTTTAAAAAACAACTATTTGTGTTTTAAGTTGGATTTATACCAGATTATAATATGTTAACAATATTAATGAAATTAAATATCTAATCAAATCTCATATTTTAATTTGCAAAAAAATAAAAAAAATAAAAATAAAAATAAAAACAAATTCGGTAATATCCCCTCGATAAATAGCTAAACGACAGCTTCAACCCTTCCGTTTCCACAGAATTCCATTCGACAATGGAATCAAGTTTCATAATTCCATGTCTTCTTCTACTTCTCTTGCAGTTTCTTTGTCTAGCCGCCGGCCAACTAAACTATTTCCCCATTTTCCGATGCAGAGACGACGGTAATTTCACGAGAAACTCCACATACGAAACAAATCTCAAAACCGCCTTCGCTTCCCTCTCCGCCACCGCAGCAACAGGCTACGGCTTCTACAATACCTCCGCCGGCGTAAGTCCAAACGCCGTCACCGCCATCGCTCTCTGCCGTGGCGACGTTGGATCGGAAACCTGTAGGGATTGTATCAGAAACTCAATCGTCCTGCTAAGACAGAACTGTGCTAACCAGTTAGAAGCCTTAATTTGGAGCTCGAATTGTTCAGTACGCTATTCAAATCGTACTTATACTTCAGTTGTCGATGTTCGACCTAACGCCAGAGTGTCGAGCTCCATTAATGCATCGGACATTGACGTTTTCGATAAGGCGTTGAGAAATTTAGAAGGAAGATTACGGGTGGAAGCTGCCGGAGGAAATTCCCTTCGGAAGTTTGCAACCGGAGATGTCGGTTTTGGGCCAGATTCGTCGAAGATTTACGCTCTGATGCAATGTTCGCCGGATTTATCTTCTTTTGACTGCAATTCGTGCTTGTCGGTTGTGTATAGGGAATCTCAAGGCTGCTGCGATGGCGAAATTGATGTCGGCGTTTTTTATCCGAGTTGTTCCGTTAGGTATTCGAATGCGTCGTTTTATAATGATCCTCCGGCAATCAAGCTGCCGTCTCCGCCTCCGTCTTCACCAGAATCGCCGGCAATTCCGGGTACGCATTGCCTATTTCATCCTGGCAAATCACACACACATAGAATAATATCTATGTTATAAATTTTTAATTAAATAAATTATTTGATTATTTGTTTGTATGCAAATTTTTTTTTTAATCTTATAACATAATTAACTAAAATTGGATTTTAATAATAAGTTTCTCACATAATAACATCTATAAAAAGTTAGTATATTAAATTTTAAGTGCAATATTGATACGTATTATTTATATTTGATCCAGAAAGTAATAATTACGACAACAGTATAGCAAGTAATCTGTCAACTTTTCTTAGTGGAGTTAAATAGCTTTTAAATAATTAATTGAGTTTTATAATATAGAGGATATAACAATAATAATGTATCCAGTCAAGTTCTTAAGTTGTCTTATTAGGTGGAGTTGATAGCGTTTAAATAATTAATCGAGTTTTATTATGTAGAGGATAATAATAACAATGTATTAATTTGATATATGTTATAATAATTTTTTTTTTATAATAATCTTTATTACTATTCTATAAGGACTATAAACAAACAACTCAAGTAATGTACATATTTGTAGATAAGAATGTTGAAAAGATAACAAATAAGTCACCAAAATATACAAAAAATAATAGTATTTGTAGATAAAAAATTTTATACAAAATTTGCTGATACCAACACAAGAAATATTAATAATAGTATGCAACATTTATTTCTTGATAATTAATTAAGTAATGTTGTTGTATGCATGCAGGAGGAAGAGGAAATTCACCAAAGAGTAGTATTTACGTCATCGTTCCTGTTGCATGTGTTTTGGGTGGGATACTCATAATTATCGGGTTATGTTTGTTTATAAAAAGAAGGCGGAAGAATAATATTAAAGATGCTGCTGCTGCTGCCAAAAAAGAAAGCGGGACTGCGTTTTCGTCGCTAGTTATGAACGAAAACCAAAACATCAGCGCTAATTTAGCACAAGCTGGGTCAGGTAATAAATTAATTAAGTGATTATAATTTTACAGGAAGCTAAGGGGGTAACGATTTACGTTTATGATTAATAATATATTGAACTTGTTATGTAGCTGAAATGGAAATGGGTGCAGTAGGATCTTTACAATTCGATTTGGTCACCATTGAAGCAGCCACCAATAGTTTCTTCGATGGAAACAAAATTGGTCAAGGCGGGTTTGGTCCAGTTTATAAGGTACACGTGGCAGTTGATCATTCTTTCGTATTTTGTATTTTGTATTTTGTAGTAGTCGATATATATATATATATATTCTGTAATTCTTATATTAATATAATTAGTTTTAATTAGCATGTATTAGTTTTTTATTAGTTTAGTAGCAGGTGTAGACGTGTAGTATATATAAAATTGAGTGGAATGCTTGGTTAACGTAGTGCTCTAATTCCCTTGTAATTTTGTGCGTTGTTAGTTTTTGTTGTTTTCTAACTGAAGAAATGATATCACGATCACATTGCAGGGTGTTCTAGCCAATGGGATGGAGGTGGCAGTGAAGAGACTATCAAAATCATCGGGACAAGGTTCACAAGAATTCATAAACGAAGTCATTTTAATGGCAAAGCTTCAACATCGAAATCTCGTGAGGCTTTTAGGGTTTTGCCTTGATGCGGATGAAAAATTACTCATCTATGAATACGTATCCAACAAAAGCCTCGACTACTTTCTCTTCAGTAAGTCAAAACACCGAATTCAATTATTTTCAAAATTTTGTTAGTATACGAAGTTGTTCGTGTGTCTAATGTATTTTTTTAATACAGATCCAAATAGACATGGTCAGTTAGATTGGCCGAAACGATATAAAATCATAGGAGGGATCACTAGAGGAATGCTTTATTTACATGAAGATTCAAGATTAAGAATCATTCATCGTGATCTCAAGGTTAGCAATATTTTGCTAGATTTTGATATGAACCCTAAGATTTCTGATTTTGGTCTAGCGAGGATTGTTGGAGTGGATCAAACTGAAGTAAACACCAATCGAATTGTTGGAACGTAGTAAGTTTTCAACTCCCTTGCTTTTGTTGGTAATTTTAGTGTTATCAAGCATTAAAGGTGTTACAAAGTTGATTTCTGCCAAAAAAAAAAAAAATCAACATTAACCCAACCTATTGAATTAAATGGGTTAAAATTTTTTGAGTTGTTGAATTAGATTCAACATATGGTAGCTCTAGGTACATGGTTAATATTTTGAGGTGTCATAATATTTGGATATGGGTCTCCCTATTTAGGGTGCATTTGTTTGTGTGTGTGTTTTTTTTTTCAATGAAAATTTTAAAAACTTATTTGATTGATTCAATTTTTAAAAAGTTTCCATGAAAATAATTTTTTTCCCCGAAATTGTATGTAATTAAATTAGCAAAATGACTTTTATAGTTTTTCAAAGTTTTTAAATTTCTAAAATGGAAAATAAAAATCCACCGGTTTTAGTTATACATGTTTTCTTAAATTTTCATTGAAAACTGAAAATGAAACTCAACTCTATTTTCCGAAAACGTTTTGTAGAAAAATGAAAACATTTTTCACAACCAAACACACCCTTAGTATAAGGGATTCTTCTATCCAAAAAAATATTAGATTCTTTTGTAATGACAAATGTTTTTGTAGTGGTTACATGTCCCCTGAGTATGCGATGCATGGGCATTTTTCTGTGAAGTCGGATGTATTTGCTTTTGGCATTGTGGTTCTTGAGATCATCACTGGGAAGAAAAGTTCACGCTTTTATAATGAAGATGATCACCAAGATCTTTCACATTTTGTAAGTTTTACCATTCTTCCTTACCCTAATTCTCCTTCCATTAATCACTCAATGAAACTAAAAAGTCATATTCTCATGCTTTGTATATAGGAACGAAAAGGAATAGATGAACTCATGAAACCTTGTTTTTATAACTGTTTTTTCCATCCGATTATCTTTAAAATCAGAAACACAACTTTACAAAGTACCTTTCTTATACAAAAATTTTTATGTCTTTATGTTTGATTATGTCCCTTGAAGGCTTGGAAAAGCTGGATTGATGGAAGAGCAATGGAGCTTATGGACCCAACAATGGTTGAAACTTGTTCTAAAGATGAAGTCATGAGATGCATCAACATTGCGTTACTATGTGTACAAGAAGATGTGGATGCAAGGCCTTCAATGGCTTATGTTTTAAACATTCTCAACAATTACTCCATCTCTCTTCCAACTCCCACAAGAACTCCACATTATCTTCCTAAAAGACATGACTCATATTCTTCAAGTAGTAAGTCTGTTTCTAAGTCAACGGATGAATCACTAATCACTAATGTATATGCACGGTAATAATTACTTGCAAGTTTTTTACCATCAATTCATGCCATTCTTTATACTTTCATGTTTATTTTATTTACATAATCAATATTCAATTATTATATCAAATCACATAACATCTTTTTGTTTTTTACGGGTGGTTAGATGTGTTGCCGATTACAATTTTAATAAATCTAATTCTATTCATTAGGGAGAAAATAATTATTTTTCGAAAAACAAATTAATAAAGGTTTTTTTTTTTTTTTTAAACAAATAGAAGAATGTTAAAATTCTACAAACTAGGAAAAACCTAGAAAACTAAGCAAACACCAAACAGACCAACACCTTAACAAATCAATGCTAGAGAAACAAACATAAAAAGAAAACAACAAAATTAATATTTGTAGCATACTTATTTCATCTATAATAGCATCATATTGTTGTATTTCTTAACCCAATATAATACAATGAACATTATGTTTTATCCATAAATAAGTTAAAAACACAATGCATCAATATTTTCCGTCATTATTTCATTTCAAAGCGAGTAATCTTTGAAAAAGTTGCAACAGATTTAGCAATGTAATTTTAGTCACTATTTTAGCAACCTTTTTTCATCCCATTGTATTTCAAGAAAAATTTAGCATCAAAATAGCTAATTGGTAAACTAATCATTCATTTATACGTGAAATGATCTACATCTATCCTTTCATCTCCCACATGCAACAGTTTTTTATGGTTCATTTTTCTTGTTCCCCTTGTTTCTTCTCTTTTTACTGTCAGTTGATTCTATGCATGATTGGCCATGTTAATTGTAATGGTCTTGAAAAGTAATGCAAGAAGCGCTTCAACTAAAATGTTACTGTTAAACTTTATTTTGAGGTACCTAACCATTCACAAAAATCAAACAAATATATTAATAATACGTACTCTACTTGAAAATGTGTTACGTTTGACAATGATTGATTATGATGATTTGGTGTATAAGAACAATAACCTCCAAACATTAATCACTATCATCAACACAAATGAAACATGAAATTGATAAAAAATGTAAAGAACATATCAAATGACAACATCAACATATATTTTGTTAGGAACACCAAAATCCAGTTGGTTTTTAGGAAACTAACAACAGAAACCTCACCTACAAGAAATCACTCTCACTCAAATGAAAAATTAAAACAAAATAAGTACATGACTATGATGTAACAGTACCGAAAATCACAACAATTTTAAACTTTTCAAAACCAACCCATAATTATAAAAGTGTTTACAAACCATTGTTTTCAAATGTTTATATAATATCCCAAAATCATAAAAGCCCATAAACAAGAGGACGTGCATGGTTATGCCTTCGACTTTCCACGAGTATCCGAGGTACCTGAAGCAATAAACTAAAACTGTAAGCCAAAGCTTAGTGAGTTCCCTCAAAGTACTACCACATAACATATGAAAAATAACATGTATTGGGTACACAACTGATAGTATGGATTACCCCTGAGCCCACAATACAAGTCTGCATTGCCCTTGGGGCCCACAACTCATATCTGGCTAGCCTTCTGGCCCAAATCATAAGTCTGGATTGCCCTCGGGCCCATAACGATGTTTGTCTTGCTCCTAAGCCCTCAGTATGAGTCTAACATACCTAATGGCCCTTAAATCGTATCTGGAATGCTCCCGGGTATGTTGGTTACAACACAAAGCAGTACAACTTCAACCCAACACAATATGTCGATGTGTGAACATATAATTTAACACAAAACTAGCAAGTATGGATAACCGTGTAGATCAACTACTCAGTCAAATATATGTATATCATTATCATATAAAAAAGATACACAAACTAATGGGCCAATATTTGTGCCTTTGACCCATGGTGCAGTGAGGAAAACTCACCTCATAAACTAAACACTAGCTGATAATGTCCTAACTCCGAATCTCAGCTCAAACCGGCACCTAATCTTTAGAATGACCCAAATCTCAAACATAATACGAAAATACCCAAAATTTCCTTAATTCAAAATTGGTCAAGTCAACTCACCTTACGTCGTGGCTAGGCATCAGTCACTTTGTGACAGTGAACCCAGTCTGGTTCCTATTCGAATCGACCCAACTAGTCAACTCAGCCAAATAAACTCCCTCAACAGGCATCATGACATGATCACGTATTTCCATGTTGTGAGCACCAAGGGTTCTAAAAAAATACAGGATGCTCTGAATCTCACATCGTGAGATCTTACATCCCACATCATGAGCGTTGTATGAGGCTAAGGGTCACTATTTTAAGTCCTTATTCCATTAAGTCTTCGATTCTACTGCATCCAGAAGCAAAAGGGGATCCTAAGGTCCATAAAAATGTTTCCTTTATGGCCATGCATACACCAACCATGATCATCCATTTTCTAGGTCAAAAAGGGAATAAGTGAGCTTCAATCCTTCATGAATGCCTCAAATCCATACCATTTTTCAGATCTGAACAATATAATGCTCTAGGGACTCTTAGAATCTGTAAAGTTGCCAAATTTATGGGTTTACTCCATTCATGCATGCAATAACATCAATAAGATCGACAAAACTCAAGATCTATCCATGCTAAGCAATAAAGCTGGAGCCTTTGATACTTATAAGAATCCAAAAGCAGGAAAAGATGGTGATGGTGATGATTCTTTGCCCACACTACCACTAGAGCACTTCCTTCTTTTCTTTTTCTTCTTCTTCTTCTTCTTCTTCAAGCTAGAAATGCACCCAAATAACAAGGGAGGAATATGATTATGGTTTCTGGAGTTCCAATATAACGGGGACCCAACTTCCCATTTTTCCTGAGGCGTATCACACCCTTCCAGGGTGAGACCTTCAGGAGTACCATGTTACCAACCTAGAATTCCAACTCAGATCAATGTCTGTCATTGTAACTCTTCTATCGACTCTAAGTAGTCTGCAATATTTTTCTAATCTACTGGATAAGCTCTATCGTCTGAAGGAGTACTTCAATCCTTCCCAAACTCTATGACCTATCTCTACCCAACATACTAGGGTGCGACATTTCCTCCCATAAAAAAGCTCGAATGGTGGTGCACCGATACTGGTATGGTAGCTTTTGTTGTATGAAAACTCAACAAAGGGAAGGTAGGAGTCCCAACTGATGGGTTTTGAGGATTACAACAATCCTATGGTGCACATGCAAACCCTAATGCTTGGATCTAGTTTTTCTACCTGTACATGCAATAATTGTCCAAGACTTGTAAACCCTAATATAGCATACAACAAAAATCGAAAATACATCTAATAAACAAGTTAGAATGTTACCTTTGATTGTTGCTTAAAGATCTTGAGTTTTTGAGAACTTTAGCACCTTAATTGTTGTGCCTCTAAAAGATCACAAACTCCAAAGCAATTGGAGAATGCAAGAGAGAGAGGGAGGATGCTAATTTCGGCTCTAAGAACTCTTTAAGGTAGTGGTAGCCGAAATTGGGAAGCTAAGGGGGTCTTTATATAGGTGAGGAATTAGGGTTTCAGTCAAATACTTATCTAGTTGCTTAGGCTCTAAGCAGCCCACAAGATCCTTCCAGAATCAACCCCTTAGACGAAATCTTATGGGCTATCCATAAGGATTTCTTCCACCCCATCCTTAGGGTTCCTCAGCTCACTTTGCAATGATCACATAATTACAATATCAACCCCCTTTGTTTTAATTAATCTTTTTTGACCAAAAAATTAATTCTTGACCAATATTAATTATAATATGATTTCTCTTTTAATATATTGTTCTCATAATATATTAATAAATCATAATTATCCTCTTTCTCCTTTATTCATCCAGTTAAGTTGCTTTGGTGAAGGCAACCCAAAAGGACCATGCTAGTATCAGATCAAGTACATACTAATTATAGTTATAGGCTTAAACACCTAATGTAACAGTCTCCCACTTAGATAAGTTTAATAATGATAAGTGCAAGTATGACTTTAAAATCCGATTAGCAATCGTAGGTCTCAAAAGTTGATGTTGAACTCTAACACGTTCTATAGATAAGGGATCGTATAGTCCTCCGTTCTCAAGATATCGTGCGGACAATCACACGGAACAAAGTCATACTTATTATCCAACAGTTTGTTTCCTGATTTCTAATTTGTCTGACATAGAACTTAATTGAACACATCAATCTTGTTCTGACCGGGCCCGACACATAAGTCAAACCAAATCATTGAGAGGCCCATGATATCACTTTTAACCTCTCAAGATAAAAGGAACAGATAAACTTCGACTTATATACTTGTACAATTTGCTCATCAAATCGTACACAACAATATGTTTGATAACATCATGTTATTGATGCGTTTACACATTATCAATGAACAATCAATCACAAACAACAACTCATATATCACGGTTTAAAGACTATATGATATTATCGTCTCACAATCACTCGTGATTAATTCCATGAAGTGATTCATTTGAGCGCGAGTTTATTCCAATACTTAAATCTTATTTCATAAGCACTCATGAATGTCGTAGAAAACTTTTGCTATGTCTAAATGCTTTAGACAGTCTACAAGCCAATTCATGACAGTCTTCTTTCATACTTACTTCCAACATATGATCGATTGTGGACAGTTTGAATAATCTTATTATTCTGGAAGTCAAACATGCAAAGTGAAACAACAGAAAATAATTAACACAAGATAGCAACTTTACTTATAGATAAAACTCTTTTTTATTTAATCAACAAATGTTAATTACAATTTATCTATTACAAGTTTCTAAAAGCTATCTAATCACTAAAACTAATATCATCCTTCAGCCCAATGCTCCTAGCGTGCTGCAAGTGCTTAAACCTACTCAGTCCCTTCGTAAGGGGATTTGCTGGGTTCTCTTCTGATGGTACCCTCTTTAATACGAGGAGTCCCTCTTCTTGAATGCAGTCCAATGTGCTTTACCAAGGTTCCCTTGATATCTACTGACCATGCTCAAAGTGAAGGCCACATCAGGGAGAGTACAAGTCATAGCATACATGATCGAGCCAGCTGCGGAAGTGTAAGGTACTCGTCAACTAGACAGCCAGGATCAAGTATGCACATAATACTAACAACAACACTCATACCGCTCTTTGTCGCCTATCAATTTCTCCTAATATAAAATTCTGCAGGCAATTACCACAA